CAGATCTCATAAAATCTTGGGTAAATAGCATCATGGTTGTTTTAGCTACTGCTCATACCCATTAGTAAAGATCACTGGTGTTGGCCATGTGACTAGTTGCATCCAAGTATAATGAGATTTTGTTTGGTATGAAGGGTGTCCAGGTGAATGTTTTTCCTCCTTCTCTGCCATCTTATGCTCCATCTAGTAACTACTGAGTTTTAAGTACTGTATCATCCTTTTGTCATGAGTTATATTAGTCATAATTTGACAGAATTAAGCCACACTATTTAACTACTCATATTCTTTTTTTTTTGCCTCAAAAAGTGACATTTATTCAAAGAAAAAAAAAAAGAAAAAAAATGACAAGATGTCCATCCCTTGGATCCCTTCCCTCCCCTCTCCTGCTCCTCTTCAGCCCCCCAGACTGTACCCTGGGTGGGGCTAATTAGCAGGACAGCCCCTCCGATGAGGTCAGCAACATTGAGGGGCATCTCCTCAATGGAGGTGTTGAAGAAGGTCTCGATGTCTTGAAGAGTCCTCTTGTCTTCTTCTGCCACCCTGTTAATAGCCACATCCTTAGGGCCAAATCATCCACCAGGACCTATTCTGTGGTTATAGTTTTCCCTGTTGGTGGGAAGGTCATAGTTGATGACTAAAGAAACCTGCTGCTCATCAATGCCTCTGGTCTACGTCAAGGGAGAGGACACATCAGCATGAGCTTGAGGAGGGGACCCAATCGAGCCGGAAGGGACTGGAGTGAGTGTACACAGCCGAAGGAAAACAAGGGAAACAGAAATGCTCTCTCCCGCAGCAACCGCAAGTATGCCAGATTTTCTTCCAGGTTGTAACTTTCCTGAAGAGGGACACGAGCAGGCCCCCTAGAGAGGGAATCAGCTTGCATAACTACTCATATTCTGAAGTAAAATGGAATCACTATCAACCTTAGTCAGTCGTCGAAGAAATGTTTATTTTGATGCCCATTATAAATGGATCTGTTTGTAATCATACATTAAAACAAAAATAAAAACTAGTCATGCTCAAACAACACAATGATCTGTCTCACATATAATTGTTACTGATCTTCAAGTTCAGCTGCCCATTGCTCAAAAGTCCAGTACTCAAGAGATGAGTTTTGACTGAAAAGGAATATGAACTTTATTCAGGAGGCTAGCCACGTGGGGAGAAGGCAGACTTTTGTCCAAGAGATTTTATTAACGGTCTAAAGAGGTAGCCCAATAAAGATTTGTTTGGGGGGAGCTTGCCCACTTGTCTTTACACACAGAGAGTTAAGTGAGAAGCATGAGAACTAGAATAGTGTTCTGAAGCTAGAGAGGAAAGGGCTGAGGTCAACTTTTGACCCTCGGGGCATTTCCCCCATTTCTCATTAAAAAGAACCACTGAGTCCCTCAAAGGCATGCAGCCATGACAGCCTTTTGGCCCATGTGAATGGTCCTCCCCTGGGTCCGCCCTGCAGAAGAAGTGTGGTAGAAGGAAACAGAGTTCATGGTGCCAGTTCTATATTCTTTTCAGTGCCACAAAGTTTCTCAAGGGAGCTTAGAACTCATTAAAACAGATAGCATGTTGAATATTAAAAAAAAATTATACAAAATCTTTTGGTGGTAGAGGAATACATTCTGACTAAATGTTTGATGTCAGAATCAGACATATTTAGATTGATACTGCACCACTGCCATTTACCAGTGAGGTGACATTGGTTTACTTCACCCACTCATCTAATAGCTTCCTATGCAGTAGAATGGGGCTTAAATTACTTATTCCTGTGTATGTCTTGTGTATGTCTTGAGGATACACTGGGATTATGTACATAAATCAGACTGTATTTCAATCAACCTATTTAGAGGATTCCCTATAACACATCTCTACTCCTCATATTCCTCTGCAACAGGTCTTAGCAAAAGGTCCAGCTGGGTCCTTATTCGGAAAAATCCAAGAGCATGTCACAATCATCCTAAGTGAAAACACCCAGACTGTGTGAACATCCTGCCCTCTGACAAGGGTCATGTGAAGAGATAGGATAAGCACACAAGATCCAATTAGTCACCTTTCCCTTTTTAATCAGTTGGTATACAAAGTACTGAAGTAGGTCAAAAGAGGTATTTTTGATTTGGTAAACTTAATAAACTATGCATACAACTAGCAGTGCTATCAACCTCTCTAAAAACTTTATATAAATCAACTCCTTTAATTCCACTGACAACACTAGGAGGTAGCTAATATTAATCTCATTTTTACTGAGGAGCAAATTAAGGTAGAGAGAGGTTAAGTAAGTTCCCCAAGATCATAAAGCAGTCAAGCTTCAAATCTAGGCAGATTTGAATCTATGCCAAAAAATGCATAAACTTGACCATCTTAGATTACTGTCTCTCAGGTTGTGTAAACTTGGCCACGAGGTGGTCAGCAGACCAAGAGCATCACCTGGGAACTCGATAGAAATGCAGATCTACAGGTCCTACTGAATCATAGTCTGTAGTTTAACAAGATCCTCACATGATCAAAATTTGAAGAACTCTGATAAGGAAGTGGAAGAGTGACCACTCCAGATCATTGTGTTCTTTGCAGAAAATAAATATGCATCCAAGGATCGTGGTGGATTCAAGAAAAGTAATATACACTTACTTATTAAAACTACCTTGAATTTATGAATATTCTAATATATAGTTCCTCTTAAAGCAGCTGTAGATCTTCATCTCCTTGACTTGCTTTCTCAACTCAACCACTGAGATATTTTTATTCCCTTAACTTAAGTCTGTAATGTGGATGCTGGAGATATCTTGTGTTTTTATCTCCTAAATCTTGGCCTAGGGAAATTTTTTCTATCCAAGGCTGAGATTACATCTCTTCTTTCCAAGAAAAACATCTCATATCTTACTCAATTTATTCAAGTCAACTTGTAGCTTTACACAGTTCTGAACATGGTTTCTGTGCAGAGCTAGAGCTTCATTTTGGGGTCTAGGATTTAGTGCCTTTGGGTGTTCACAGGTGCTATTAATTAATTAACTGGCCTGTGTTTCTAGCTGACTCATCAACACCACTCTCTCTAACTCTGTTTTATATGAATAACTGTACATTGTTAGCAATTCAAACCCCTGACCAGATTGCAATTTTTTATCCAATCCATCTCAGAAATAGTGTACATTTTACCCTACCCACACAATGAGGCTCATCCCATCTTTTTTATAATTCTTTGAGATTCTTATTAGTTGATCAATGGACATCTTAATTTTAGAATACATTTTAGAACAACTCTGTGAGAGGTAAGGTAGGTGAAATTGTCCTTTCAGAATAGAGGAGGAAACCTGTCTACGATTGCAGATTAGGGATGAATAGACAAGAGTAAAAAAGTTGGTTTCCTCTTGCCTCTTCGTTTTAGGGCACCACAGAAAAGCAGAAAAAGGGAATGGTGAGATGGGACAAAGAAAGAAATGTCCATGTACTTATGGAAGAAACTAGAGTAAAAGTAAAATACTCACATGGCACCTCGGGTGGTACACATGGTTAAGTGGCTAACTCTTGGTTTCTGCTCAGGTCATGATCTCAAGAATGTGAGATATAGCCCTGTGTTGGGCTCAGCAGAGTCTCCTTCAGATGCTCCCTCCCTAAGCCCCTCCCGCTCATGTTCTCTCTCTCTCTAAGATAAATAAACACATCTTAAAAGAAAGTAAAATATTCACATTGCAGGTCCCTTTCATGCAAGGGTGGGGAATAAGTTGATAGAACCAAAATTTAGGAGATGGGAAATTATGAAAAGCCATTGCTGTAACTCAGTGTGTAGGCCTGATTGATCTAAAGCATCACATTATATAATGTCAAAAAATGAGAGGATAAACTAAGTTACTGACATGGCTGATGCAGAGGAAGAGAAGTTGACAAATTAAGGCATAGGTAGCTACATTATCAAATATATATATTTGCATTCTGAGATAATTTTTTAAGACTCAAAAATATTTGATTCACTGGGGTTGCTTTTTCAAAACACCTGTTGAAGACAAGTTTGCTGCCTCAACACTGGGTATCACAACTCCAGCAGCAGGATGGGAAACAGGTTACAGGTGTCCAAAGGACACAGAACACAGAGCCTGGGAGGCAGAAGTGTGCGGGGAGCTCTGAGTCTCCTTATTAGCAAGGGTTGCTCTTAGTTTCTCCCTTCTTTTCCCTCCCAAATTAAATTTATTACAAATAGGATATTGGCCATCCTTCCTGGGATTCTGCTTATACCTGTGAAACATACAAAGAAACAGGAATAGCACCTTCAACCTCTCTCCTGCTTTGACACGCAGAGTTCGAGAACCCAGTTCCCTGTTGATTGGCAAGGCAGCATAAGACATCTAAGTTTAATCTCACTATAGAATTTAGACCATTTTTGTACCCTTCTTGCAGGGAACCCTGGATGATCCCAAATGAGCATGACTATGTTACTTCCCTTAGCTTGTTGGGAAAGTCTTTGATAGCTTCGGTGCCCACATCCAAGGCGAAGCCTCAAGATCCAAGCTGCGGACCCCAGGGTCTTTTCCATTGGTTCTGGCTGAGTATCCAAACCTAAGATGCTTTAAGTTCAAGATCTTAAACTTCAAGAAAACTTTAATTTAAGAGAAATTAAAGAAAGGGAAGGAGAAACACACAAAGAGAAATTAAATATAAACAAACACAGCAAAATAATGGCAAACTATATTTATGTGTGTGGTTATGAACACAATCAGAGATAAGCTCCACTCTTTGCCAACAATCATCCACACAAACTGTAAATGGTGTCACTCGGATCTATGAGTGGAAGCACAGACATGACCCGCTTGGAGAGGATTCATAAATATTAAAAATATTATCCAATATGCAGTAAATTGTTTCTTTTAAGTGGGGTATTCCAAATAGAAGACTTCTGCCTTCAGGCTTATGGAGACTCAAGAATCTCTTGCAAGGCTGAGAATTCTTCCTAAAGTCACCAAATAACCTTCTCACTCTGGGTCTTACTAATTCTAAAAGAATTGTTAAGAAACAATGACCTGCCCCTCCCATTTCCCCCCACCCCTCCCCACTCTCCCCTGCTCTGGGACCTGGAGACCCTGCTCTCCTCTCCTGGCCACTTTCTCTTTCCTATTTCCTACCACAAACCCTCTCTTCAACCTCTACCGCTTCCATAAACTGTATACATTCCTGAATAAATTTACGATTTTCAAAACAAGCCAGAAAAAATATAGCTTTCTTGCCAGACATCATCCTTTACATTTTGAGGCACAGACACACCACTTGCTCAAACACAAGTGAGAGGGAAGGAGAAACACACAAAGAGAAATTAAATATAAACAAACACAGCAAAATAATGGCAAACTATATTTATGTGTACAAATAAATATATATACGCAAAATCCCATCCACATAGGTGTGTGTGTATATACTTTCCCATCATATCAAGGTATTAATGCTTATTAACACCCCAATGTTCAACAGGCATCAGAGTATATCTATCTGTGTGATTGGATAGCTGAACAGTCATATGTGCTGAGTTGTTTCAAAGTATTTCTCCCAGTTTTCTCTATTTCCCTCTGTCCTTCCTCCACCCTGCCCATCCTTGACATGGGTATACAGGAGAATATTCCCATGATATCATACATTTAAATTATTTGGCTTAAATTTACAACCAGGGATAGTCAGAACTTACTCTCCATAATGTACTAGGTGTGTGATTATAGAAAAAGTTAGTTATGTTTTCTGGGCCTTCTGTCAGTTAAATGAGAAGTGAGCACGTTGTTCTATTGTTATATTGGGATGCAGTCCATGAAAAGTAAAGGGAAAGTGGATACGTTACAATAGAAAAGGGTCATATACTCTCCCATCCACTCCATTCTGAACGTATGTGCTCCTGGTATGCTGGTTCTGCTAATCCATGGCTACTCTGAGTCATGGTTTACTGTTCAGCCATCATTTGTTCCTAGGCTTGACCTTCTACGTGACTTGAAAATTCTTGTGTTTGATCTTCAGAGGCTAAGGGAAAGCACAGTGGCACAGTTCCCTTAATAATTAGTGTTGTTCCACCTTGTGTGAAAACATGTTACGTGTTTACCAGTTACCTCAGAATATCCTAGTGCAGTTCAGCATGTGTATACAGCATTCATTTTGTGGCAGATCATCATAACTGGTAATTTTTTAAAAACGATTTTGTTTTTATTTTAGTTGAGAGAGAACATGAGTAGGGGGAAGGGCAGAGGGAGAAGCAGGCTCCCCGCTGAGCAGGGAGCCAGACGTGGGACTCTGTGGGATCATGACCTGAGCCAAAGGTGGACAGCTAACCGACTGAACCCCCCAAGTGCCCTTGTAACTGGTAATTTTTTAAGAGATAAAAGAATAAAATTGTTTCTTCTAAGCAATGCTTTACTTGTTTTCTGTTGTTGTTTAGCAGCATGTTCTATAAATAGGTATCAGTAAGATCAGATCTGTAGATAGTATTGTGCAAGTCTACTATATTCTTTCTGACTTCTGACTATGTATTGAGCACAAAGGTCTGCAAGTGTAATTATGGATTTGTCTATTTTTCCTTTCAGTTCTAACAGTTTTGGCTTCCAGTGTTCTGAAGCTCTATTGTTAGGAGCATACACATTAACATTGTTACGTCTTCTTAAGTATGTAATATCCCTCTTCATTTCTGAAATATTTCTTTTTCTGAAGTCCAATTTGTCTGACATTAATATAGTCTTCCCAAATTAGTGTTTGCTTGGATGTCGTCTTCCATACTTTATTTTTAATCTTTCTATGTCATTATATTTAACATGGGTTTCATGGAAACAGTACTGAAGTGGGTTAAAAAAACCTCGTACTTAAATAAATAAAATTTTGAAAAAAAAACTCGTACTGGCAATCTTTGTCTTTAAACTTTTTTAAGTTTGTGTACTTAGACTATTTGTGTTTAATGTAATTATTGATGTGGCTAGATTTAGGTCTGTTATTTCATTGTTCACTTTCTGTTGGCATCCTCTGTTTTTCTTCCTCGGCATCCTGTTACCTCTTTGCTATTCGACTTTTTCTTTTTGTAGTATATTTTTAGTGGCTTCCTAAGGATGTTTTAAATGTATGTTTTAAAGAATCACATTGGTTGCTTGTTATGGACTAATATGTCCCCCCACCCTAATTCACTTATTGAAACCCACCCCCTAATATGATGTTAACCAGAGGAAGCTGTTAAAGTGGTAGTTGGGTCTTTAAAGATTTTAAAGATTAGGATATATTTACATGTCCTCAAGGCAATGGATCAAACTTCTGACGAGACAGAAAACATTGGAATATGTACCAGAGGTAGAAGGACCAAGTTTTGATAAGAGGGGAAACAGTTATTTCCAGTTTTATTGGAAAGAAGGAGGACAGGATCTGTTTAGATTGTAACAATTTTTTAGAGTGTGATGGCAGAAAGTTGAAATGTTTATTAATTTCTAATGGAATCTTATTTGTCAAATAAGATTTTGAAAGCAAATTTGAAAGCATTTGAAAGCAAATGGAGGAAGTTCTGGATTAGGAAGTCTGGGGAGTGTGAGAATTTTTGAAATAGTTACAGGAAATGACAGTGGGAGATGATTACAGAGAATACTTTTGAGGCAACACTGGGGGCCTGGTTAGTGTTAAAGATGACAGCATGTCTTAATGGCACCAGTCTGCACACTTGTGTGATTATTTTGAACTCTGCTTATCAGAAAAAGCATACATTAGGAGAAGGCAGATACTGATCTATAATTAGGAATTAATAAAGCCACTGATAGGACACAGAACTGGGGAGAGAAAAAATTGGGTAATGACTAAAAGTTGATTGAAGTAGGGCCATGGAATTCAGATGGTGTAGATAAGCAAATAAAAAATAGGGGGCTCCTGGGTGGCTCAGTCAGTTAACTGCCTGATGCTTGATTTCTGCTCAGGTCATGATCTCAGGGTCATGAAATTGTGCCCTGTGTGGGGCTCTGCTCTGTGTGTGGAGCCTGCTTGGGATTCAGTCTCTCCCTTTCCCTTCCCACCCTCACTCACCCCTCTTGCTCTCTCTTTTTCTAAAGAAAAAAAAAATGCTTCTGAGAAATAACATGACATGAAAGGGATCCAGGAACCAAATGGTCATATATAGCCAAAGAATAAGCCAGTGGATATGGCTGAATGTAAGCATGTGAGTTTTTAGAACTGATGTAAATTTCACTGGTGGAGCAATATCTAACCAGAGAATTATCATGGGATATTTCTAGAGTGTGGGCACAGGAAGTAATGGCTAAAGGGGATTATAATTAACAGTCTTTACAATTGATTAATTCAGGCTCTCTCTGAATGGCCCATGTGGACACTTAAGTTCATGTGGTATTTTAGATTATACCGGAATTCTCCTGTGTTATAGCCTTCAATATATAAGGAAAAGTATCTGGTGTTTATAAAGATGCAAAAAGAAGTGGGGAAAGTAGGGGTGAGAGGTATAGAGACAATGGTCTGGGTTTTGTGGGTGGTGGTGAAGAGAATGCTGTTCTGTCTAAATCTGAGGTGTTTTAGGTGAAGGAGAATAAGGAGCAACCACAAGAGAAAGAGTCATGCTTGGTTAAGGCATGTGGAAGCACTTTCCACAGGGGCTACTGGATGTCTGTTTGCAACAGATTGGGAATTTAGCGGACACAGCAGAAACTTTTCATTGGAGGGTAAGAGACAGTTATGTTAGCTTAAAAAAACAAGATCTCTTGGGGCCTCATTCCTCTCTGGAAAGAGTCAATCATGGGAAGAACTGGACGTGCTTGCAAGGGGTCCTAGTACAGAGAATCACAGCCACAATAAGATTAGCTGGTGCTCAAGTCTCTCAGCAGGTGTCAAGAATCAGCAAAATCTGGCTATCTAGCTGAATCAGCTCTCATACACTGCATTTCATCCCACTCCAAAATCTGCATCTGCTTCTAATTATAGATAGAAGCCCTAGAGAAAAGCATGTCTACCTCCCATTCAAAACCCATGTGGCAGAGGACACACCTGGAGCACAATCCCTGAAATCCCACTATCGCTGCCCTCATTGCTTGTACATAATTGCCTGGATCTCAGCAACAGAAGCTGTAATGTGCGGGGAGAGTGTGGGATGTCCATTCTGGATGACTGTGAATCTTCTTTCTTTCCCATCTATTCCTGTTAGTGTTAAGGACCTGACTCTCCTAATTTCTTTCTGAACATCATTCCTCTCTTATATTCTTTTGCTTCTTATTTAACATGAAGCCCAAAGGCAACAATTCCAAAACTCTTTTATAGATGCCATCGAGCAACACATTCCTCTCTCTTCCATTTCAACATCCTGCCAAATCCAAAGACGGGCTGAACTCCCTCATACACCATCATAACAAACTGGAACCACACACTAGATTCTAGGGTACTGTTAATTTGGGAAAGGTGTTGGCTAACAAATCCCATTGACCACATAATATACCATGATGCCATGGGAGTCTTTTCAGGTTATGGCAGGTTTTGCTTGTCCCCTACAAATAGTGAATTTACTTCTTCATCCTTCTAAACAGAACCTGGATGTTCTTTGAGCTATCAATATTCCTAGATAAAAACACATATTTTGCCAGGCCTTTACTGAGTATTATACATAAGCAATGAATCTTGCAACACTGCATCAAAAACTAATGATGTAGTTTATAGTGCCTAACATAACACAATAAAAAATTTTTTTTGTCTTATGCTTTTTCTAAGAGTTTTACAATTTAACATTTTACATTTGTCTGTGATACACTTCAGGTTGATTTTATTAACTTAGTTTTTATGAAGTGTGAAGCTTAAATCGTTTCATTTTTCTTGCTGATGGAGGTCCACTTGCTCCACCACCATAGATGGAAAAGATTATCTTTCCTCCATTTAGTTTCTTTGGCACTTTTGTAAAAGAAAAGAAATTCAGTCTGGTATATTTGTGTAGATCCATTTATAGGTTCTCTAGTTTTTACATTGATCTATATCTCTATCTCTGCACCAATAACACATCATTTTGATTACTGTAGCTGTGGCTTGAAGCCACATA